TTCCGCAGGGCTGTCACTGCTGCTGCAGCTCGCTTCATACCGGCAGGATGTATATCGGACCCACGTCCAAACTTCCCTGCCGAAGCGGCTGTTCTAGCCGATGAGCGTGATAGCCTTCGTCAGGCCGATCCCGGAGATCCCCGTATCAGGGATCTCAACGCGGAGATTCGGCAACTTGTAAACGTACATAAGCGGAAGAAGTGGGAGGAGCATCTGAAGACTTGTAACTTCACCTCTGGTGTGAGCAAGCTTTGGTCAACCGTGAGGTCGTTGTCCAATCCGACGAAGCACGACGACAGAGTCGAAATTTCCTTCGGCGACCATGCTTCGTCGGACCCGGAGCGATGCGCGAGCTATTTTAGCCGGCAGTTCATACTGCATCCTCCGGTGGACAAAGCCAAGCGTCGAGTGACCAGAAGGCTGCACAAACTGCCAACAACTTGTGCCCCCCTTGCTTTCACTTGCGGTGAAGTTCAGGTGGCCATCGGGAAGGCGAAAGCCTCCAAAGCCATGGGTCCCGACGGAATATGCATGCTGATGCTGAAAAATTTGGGTCCTGCGGGGGTAGCGTACCTAACGGAGGTCCTCAACTTGTCAATGGCCACTCTCATCATCCCAGACATCTGGAAGGTGGGGAGAGTGGTCCCACTGCTCAAACCGGGGAAACCTGCCAACAAAGGAGATTCGTATCGTCCGATTACACTCCTTTCCCCGGTAGCGAAGACACTCGAGGCCTTGCTACTCCCGTACTTCACAAACCACCTGACCCCAGCGAAGCATCAGCATGGTTTCCGTAAAGTGCACAGTACAACAACAGCACTTAACGCCATAAACACTCAGATAACTCGTGGCCTTAACCGTAACCGTCCCTGTGAGAGAACGATTCTAGTAGCGTTGGACTTGTCAAAGGCGTTTGACACCGTCTGCCATTCCACGCTACTAGAAGATATAGAGGCCTCCTCTCTCCCACAGAGGCTCAAACGGTGGTCGGCAAATTATCTGAGTGGTCGACATTCGTCGGTAATGTTTAGAGACAAAACGAGTAAGCAGCGAAAAATAAAACAGGGGGTTCCTCAGGGTGGTGTCCTTTCCCCGCTACTGTTTAACTTTTACATTTCAAAGCTCCCTCAACCACCAGAGGGAGTCTCGATTGTCTCCTATGCCGACGATTGCTCGATCATGGCGACTGGGAATGGAATTGATGACCTGTGTTCGAAAGTAAACGGCTATCTCTCCGAACTTTCTCGCTTCTTCACTGCAAAGTGTCTAGCCCTCTCCCCTACGAAATCCTCCGCGACCCTGTTCACAACCTGGACGAAGGAGGTCAGGCTACCGCTGGGGATTCACGTCGATGACACACCAATTCCGACGGTGAATAACCCCAAAATACTCGGAGTAACATTCGACAGCCTGCTCTCCTTCTCTGCGCACTCAACCGCTATTGTCAATAAAGTACAGAGCCGCAACAAGGTCCTCAAGTCGCTAGCCGGCAGTACTTGGGGCAAAGACAAAGAAACGTTGCTGGCAACATACAAGGCAATAGGCCGGCCGGTTTTGAACTACGCAGCGCCAGTGTGGTCGCCAGGGACTAGTAGGACGCAGTGGACGAAGCTACAGACTGTACAGAACACCGCACTCAGGACAGCGACAGGATGCCTCCTGATGTCGCCTGAACACCACCTGCACGGCGAGGCGCAAATGCTCCCTGTAAAGGAGCATAATATAATGCTCTGCAAGCAGTTCCTGATCGGGAGCCACAGAAGTGGCCACCCAAGCAGACAGCTGCTTGCAGAGGAGCCCTCGCCTAGGCACGTCAGGAGGCATCTATATGAACTGACGGACGAAGTCCAGAGGTTCATTAAGCAACCTCTGGACCCGACAGCTTACCGACAGGCCCTGAACGGCATTCACAGGGACTCAGTCTCGAGTTATGTAGACTCTAGACCTTTGAATGCCGTTTTAGGCATACCACCCTCGGACATAGACGAGACGGAGCTTCATCTGCCTCGGGAGACACGCACAACACTTGCACAACTTCGCTCCGGCTACTGCAGAAGGTTGAACTCCTACCTGAGTAGGTTGAATGAGGATGTGCCGAATGAGTGTCCGGCATGCGGAGAGACCCCACATGACTCGAAACATCTCTTCGCATGCCCGGAAAACCCGGCAACCCTAACGGCCTTGTCCCTGTGGACACGCTTCCTAGGGTTGCCGTTAGTGGAACTTGACGACAACGACTGAGATACCAACCGTCCTGGGCGGGGTTGTTGTAGCCGCTACAACAACAACAATGTTGTTACACAAAAGGGAGGGACCTACAGTTTTGTGCCGACTCCGACCGGCGATTGTATTTTTATGAGAAGCTGCCTTTCATGGCAGAAATACACTTGGAGGTTTGCCGTTGCCTGCCGAGGAGCGACCGCTGTAACCTAAAAATAACCTCTTTTTCTAAATTTTTTGCGATGTTGGTTTGAACAGGGCTTGAAGCCAGAGTCTGCGGAGTGATAGCGCGCACGGCTAACCACTACACCACAGCAGCGTAGGACGGATGGTATTGAAAATGGCAAAATCGGACAATAACCTCGGACATAACGGTAGTTTTCAGAAATACGGAAACTGCGATAATTTAGTAACTACTGAAGGTTATTTACTCAAAATCGATATTTGCAATAATCTTTAGACGAATAATAAGAATACTATAAATTTTTGTAAAATTGGGTGTGGCACTGCCCACTTGCCTACGCTTGTGTATATCGGTAACCGGTTTATCAATTTCTACCAAACTCGGCACATTTATCAACCATGGAACAAAAAGGCAATATGTTAAAAAATTTTGAAATCGGACTAAAATTACTGCCACTTACCATATAACGGTAAATTTCAGAAATACGAAAACTCCGATTTTTCAATAACTAAAGGCCAACTTACAAGTGTATATCGATAACCGCCTTACTGATTTCCGCCGAACTTGGTCCAATTATTTTAATAAATCATAGCATATTATCGAACACTTTGGAAAAATACCCTTGCTTATCATGAAGTTTACTGAAAGGTTAAAAAACGATATTTAATATGTGCGCCGGGTATATAATGTTCGGTTTCGCCCGAACTTATACTTCTTTACTTGTTTTAAAATTTACTTTTGTGTGGAGCCCACTCTCTGCAATCTGACCACAATTGAAGCTACTCGTAGTAACTGTTGACTTTAACACATACATTCAAAAGGTTAGACGCAACCTCACCTGCATCCGAAATGGCTGTTTAAGCTTTTGTAAAAAAGACAATGTAAAGAAAACGATCATACAGAAATGTTGTTCATTCAATGCGTTCTAGTTTTCATCAACGAACAAAAATAAAAGGTAATAACAATAAACAATATTCAAGTGTTTTCACGAAGGTATTTAAAATAAGTTTTTTTTTGGTCAAATGAATAGACGCACTTAAGAAACTTTTGGATTTCTCTATTAACGGGACTTTTTTGTATTTCAGATAGCTTAAATAAAAGTAAATACGTTTTTTAGTAATGAGTGCTGACACCTTTTTTGCTTATGACTTCAAAAATGTCTTTCATAGAAGAATACAGGGTGTTAAGGCAGTCCAATGAAATCTCGCTCCAAGCAAGTTTAATTGCTACCTCCAAAGACGCCTTGTTTTCGTACTGTTTTCCCTCTTTATAAACCTTGCGGGATAGCCAGCCACACATTTCAATTATATTTAGGTCTGAAGAATATGGGGGGCCAAGTCATTAATTTAACATTTCGACTTGAAATACACGACTTTACGACGTGCGAGTTGTGAATGGGAGCGTTATCCTGTTGAAAAAGCCATGGAAATGGTCCAAAAAGATCTCTTATCTTTGGAAACTACGTATAGTCCACGTCATATGATCTCTTGAAAATTGCAGTCTTTCTGCTTTCGAATAGCGTTGGGATGTGGTTTCGTTTTAACTGTGAGTCTCTTGAGATTTTTTGCGTTAAAAATTGTTCGTTGAACAGTTAAAAAACTCGCGTTTACTCCCGCTAATTCTTTTATTTTTGCAGCTGATTTTGTTAAATTGGAAGCGATTCTGAGAACATTTCGTACTACTCTAGAACTTAAAGGTTTTTTCTTCCTTTGAACCGGTTCCCATATGATTTTGGATTTTTTAAATATATATCAACAGATCTTGGGCTGCGATTTATTTTTTCTGCTACCTTCCGGTTGGATAGTCTTTGGGAGTTTAAGAAATCGATTTTTTTCACGTTCTAAAAGGCTCAAAACTTTTGCTTTAGCCATATTTCGCGAAAAATTTAGTCAATCGAGTTTGTTTTTTAACTTTAATTTGATTCACGTCAAAACATTTGCAAACTTATCACACACCACTTTGAAATGTAAACTGCGTATATTTCAACGAATAACCAAAAAAGCACATGATTGTTTAAACGTTTAGAAAAACTGCCTTAGCACAGCTACATATACGTTTGTCAAATCGAAAATTCGCGACAGGTAATTTTTGGACAAAGTTTGATATCCAGTTAGCAAATTTTATTGGACATTTAGCTCACACCTGTTTTTAACTAAATCAGTTTGCTTGAAAGAAAAGTTACTGCGTCTATCCAAAGACTAGGAGTGTACATACATTTAGTTATTAAAATTTACACTGAAAGGATATTAGAAATATTTGCAAAAAAGGAAAGCGCAAAATTGAGTTTGCAGTTTAAATTTGTTTAATCGAAGTTCTGAGCACTTTGTTAAAACTATTCCATCGTTCAATCGAAAAACGTTGTAAGTAAGTGTGGCATCTCTGTACCAATAAGTCATAGCCACGGCGACCCCTGTAGGTTAAGTTGTAAAGCTAAAATGTAATGTCAAAAGGAATGAATAAATAATGGCACTTCGCATACAACCAGCATCGAAAAAAAAAAAAAAAAAAAAATAAAAAT